ATACAATCTAATAACAACTATACTAAATGACTACATATGTGTAAATAAAAATAAAATAAATATTCAAAGTAAAGCTAAAGAAGGATGATTTGACTCTGACTGTTATAGAATGAGAATAACAAAACAAGCAGAATTAAAAAAATTCAGACAAAATTCAACTGTATTTAACTTTAATAGTTATAAAAAAGCTAAACGAACCTATAATAATCTCCTTAAAACTAAAAAGTTAAATTATCTTTGCAAAATTGAACTAAACTTAATTAAAAATAATAATAATGGCAAAGTGTTCTGGAATACAATATGAAGATTTTGGCCTAAATCAAATTTAAACAGAAGTTCTGTCACAATAATTTTAATACCTGGAAGCAGTTTTATAATAGATTTCCACAAATCCATACGGAATTACCATTAAATACAAGTATAGAAGATGATACAATGATATTCTAGATTCTGACTTTACTATTACCGAATTGGATGATGCCATTAAAAATTCAAAAAGTAAAATAACTTCAGGAAATGACAATATTCCTACCGATTTCTTAAAAATATTATCGAACAATTCTAGATTAAAAATATTAAATTTATTTAATGGTATGTATAAATCTGATTTCTACCCCAATTCCTGGAACTCAGCCATTCTTACAATGATCTATAAAAAAGGTGATTATTCCTCTCCTAGTAACTATAGACCAATAGTATTGCTATCTGTTATAAGAAAATGTTTTACTTCAGTTCTTGCAAACAAATTTAAGCTATGGACTAAAACGATGGGAATAGAAGCCGAATTCCAATACGCATTCACTGTAAATAAAGGAACTGAATTTGCAATCTTTATCTTATTAATGATAGTTCAACTATATCTTTTAAAAAACACAGGAAAATATACGCTTCCTTCATTGATATTCAAAAAGCATTTGATTCAATATACGTTCCTCTGTTGGTTCACAATCTTAAATCCTGTGGCACAAGTACCATATTTACTTCAGAAATCTCAAAACTATACTCAAACTATAACATCAAGATAAAACAAGGCAATAATATCTCTCAAACTTTATCTTTATCCCGTGGAATTCTTCAAGGTGATCCCCTCTCTCCATATTTATTCAATTTTTACCTTATAGGTATTGATCGCCTCTTTACTGAATCAACTGATGGAATTGTAATAGGAAATAGTCTTTCATTATATTCTTTTTGCTGATGACCTTGTGCTTCTGGCCCCAACAAAGATTTCATTACAAAGGAAAATTAATCAACTCAATAAATTTCTTCAATCACTATATTTAACAATAAATTCGACCAAAATGAAAGTTATAATATTCTGCAATAATTGTAAAATATCCGAAAATAACACTAAATTATATCATGAAAATACTCCTTTACAAACTGTAAATGAAATGGACCAGTGGTTTCCAATTAGTTTTTCCTGCGTACCACTTCAAGAAAGAGCTCAAACTCGTGTACCCCTTATAGCAGATATTCATATTAATCCATACTAATATTATAAATTTGAACGTAATTTTGTCTGTCTGTCTGTTACTTTTTCACGTCTAAACCACTGAACAGGTTTTAATAAAATTTGTCACAGAGATAGCTTACATGTTTGAGCTGGACATGGGCTACTTTTTACTGCAAGAAAATATCTTACTCCCACAAGAAAATTCAATGTAATGTGGGCGAAGCTGTGGTTAGACAGCTATTGATAAATAGAATAAGTTTTTTTACATTTATTACCTTTAAAATACAATTCTAATAATAATGAAAATAACATAAGGTTATTTAATTTTAATGTGACAAATGTGCACGATTTTCTTTGCACAACTTTGTAAAATCTGGTTGCTTTTTGGTCTGATGCAGTCTAGTTATCTTCGAGTCGAAGCTGGTGACGATGTTTAGTTTTCATGTTTGTCATGGCCAAAAATCCGCTCTCGCAGAGGTATGTTGTGCAAAATGGTAGTAAATATTTTATTGCCGCTTTGCTGACATGATAATAACAATAATTGTATAATTAACACAAATTGTGTTAATTTTACAATTTTTGTTTCTTGTGTAAGAATTTCATTTAGGTATTGTCACAAATGCATTTTTTTGATGAAATTTCAAGAATATTTTTAGTTATAAATAAACAAATTTGTGCATTTGACATCATGTTGTAAATTGCCGAATTTTTGATGATCCACCCATTATTTTTTTTTTGATTGCTTCATCTTATGCATTTAAATTTTAAATCGACTGATTTTAGATTTCTGTGCGTATCCCTTCACGCAATTTCTAATTGCGTACCACTAATTGGGAACCATTGAAATAGACTATTTGGGAGTCAGGTTTGACTGGAATTTATCCTTTAAAGCATATTTTAACAAAATAAAAATCAAAGCAAAGCAAGCAATACATAATCTACTATTTGTATGTTGAAAACTACCAATTTAAAAATTCACATCAAATTATTTAACTCAACAATCGTTCCTATAATATATTATGCAAACCCAATATGGAGTTTAGACTATATATATAAATTGGAATATCTTCATGTCTATTATTTACGCAAATTATTCCAACTAGAAAGAACTATTCCAGGCTATGCTCTGTGGCATGAAGTAAATCGGATTTGGTTCTTCCCTTTCGTATTGAAACACATAATAAAATTTTATTACAGAATTAAATTTAAAAACGATAATACTATAATATAGCTACATCAACAAAATATTAATCAAAGTAAAAATCAGAAATTTAAACAACTATGGTAGTACAAGCTAAATCAAATTCTAAATACTTTTGGTTATCAGAGTTATTATTTAAAGATAATATTAATGATTGGAAATTCGGCTATTCACTTCTAATGGACTCTGCAATTTTGCAAGCAATGAACAAATATCAAAATTCATTATATCAAAATAGTTATTGTCCATGGTACATTGATTTATTGCAAATTCTGCCCTTACAATCTTATATGTCACAGCCAGTTAGTCTAAATGTTAAGCGATTAATAATTCAACTCCGTTTAAATAAATATTCTCTTTTTATTAATAATATTTATATTGACTTAACAAGATCCTATTGCCCTTTATGTAATTCTGAAGAATTCTCACTATATCATCTAATTCATAATTGTCAAGAACTTTCTAGACTGCATGACTATTATAAAATATCTCAAATATGTAATTCTAATTCACCATCCAACTTCAAACTAAGTTTAAATAATCTCCACAAAATGAACTTATACAAAATTTATAATTATTTTGTTAAAATTTCTGAAAAATACTATTCGACAAATCAAAAGTAATGTTTGTTCTAGCATTCGTTACCTTGTTAACATAGATGGATCATTATGTACGTAATCACAAATTGATGTCTATAGTAATTATGACTTATTTTTGTACCTTTATACCCTAAATTTGCTAAACTGTAATCGTTTTTAATCATTTGTACTATTCCCCTGTAACAGAGAAATTGTTCTCTATTTGTTAATACCAATTTGTATTGTATTATATTGTAACATTAATAAATAAATAATGATAATAATATGTTTCTAATTATATATTTTATATGAATAAAATAAATATTAAATTATAATTTTTTGTTATTAAATAAGCTTCACTGTGATTTCAATAAGACATATATTAGTATATTTTTGCTTCTAATACAATAAATTTAGTAACCAATTTATTATCATTTTCATTGATAACAATTCAATTCAGTTGATATCAGAACTCAATAATAATACAATCACTAGTATTAATGTCCAGTATATAAAATAAAACATTACATAATACAATTTTCTTAATAAAACTCAACATAAAAATTATAATAAACTCCAGAAAATTCTAAATTCTCTAATTTCATATGTAATATTTCTGTCTTTTTATCTAAATTGTTGTTTATAAAATTACATCAAGTTTAGAATATAAGTACTAAGCACTTTATGTGATTAATAACTTTCTCTGTTATCTGAAAATATTTGTAGTAATTTGTGACTAAATAAATGCCATATACCAGGGGTAAGCAAGCAAGAGTTCAGTGGGAGCCAAAATGTAGGTTTTGCAAAATGCATGGGAGCCACAGTTCTGTACCTTTTTATTCTGTACCACGATTTTATTATATAATATAAATATAATATAATACAAAAACTGAATTTTTTTAATAAACATATTTTCACAAAACTGTGGAAATAAACTTGTAAAAATAATAATAAAAAGCAGAAATTAACACTTTCAGCAAGAGCCGCATTTGCCCATGTCTGCCATATACAATATCTTCATACCACAAAGCTTCTTTGTTTGACATTTTAATTTCCATCAGTTGTTAAAAAATATTTTTCACACAATGAAGGTTATCATTGTGTGATACTCTCAAAATTAGACAGTAATTAGATAACTAGAAAGTCAATAAATTTGAGAATAATATGAAAATTTTTTGCCATGGATTATATAATCATATTGATTAATAATATAGGACGGAATCTCTTCCTCAAAACCTTTAATATAACTGAACAACAGTGAACTTTATTTTACAATTTGGATGCAAAACATATAGCCTAAGAACTATATAAGAGACCACTACCTGATTTTGATAAATAAAAAAAACTTCTGTTAATATGCTTTTCCAATAATTGTAAATAAATTATCATAGTTTTAATTTAAACTCATGTAATGTATTTGAGTTCAATATAGCTTTTTTGAGTTTAATATAGCCCACAAATATTTGTTTAATGTACTTTATGAGTACATTTTAGCTATAATATTGCAGTTTGTCTACAAACAGTTTAATGTGGCACAAGGCAAAATTCAGTTCTGCACTCCTACTCTACAGTACATAAATTTATTGTACAATACATAAAATATATTATTATTACACTTATAAACAAAATATAATAAAAATTAAAATATTAACAAACATAGAAACATAAAATTAATTTACTTAAAAGTAAAATTTTATCAATTCTTACTTTGCCCATCTTCAGTTATTAATTCTTCAGGTGACTGGGAACGAACAGGTATTTGAATGCACTTTGAACACAAGCATTCTTTACCAGTAAATGTTACTTTTTCACCAGTTGGAAATATTTGTCTAAAATATTATAAAACAAAGATCAAAATTATTTTATGTTAATGACAGTTCATTAAAAAGCTAAAAATTTAGTTTTTAGTTGAAACTATATTTAAATACTACAATTCTGCTTTGTGATATGTTTTAATATTTTACAAAGATTGTTTTTGTAATATGTAATGAATGTACAGTATTTGTAAAAGTTCTTTAAATTTTTATCAAGTTAATACACATTATTTCAGCAACTGCCAGTGATTTCAGTCATTAGACAGTTTATAAACACTACAGAAAAAATCCAGAAACAAGTTGCATAACTTTCCTGGAAAAAACATTTAAAATTGCATGTGATGCAATCTGTTATGAGATTTTATTTTTAAAAACTTTTTATATTATTAATTATATAAAATGACAAAAAACTTAATTTTGAGAATAGAGATGAGCTTTATGAAAAATTGCAAATGTTAATAATGAGTAAAATCTTCATTAAGTCTAACCCCACTCGTGATACCGCTATCTTCAGAAACTCTTTACTTTTAACTACCAAAATTTAATAGCATCAATCCCCAAATACACAAACCTTGGAAACTTTCAGAAATTTTTGACAAAAGTCACAGGAGATATTAAGTTTCAAAGTGGATGGTTTCTTTATGTATGGATGTTTGTGTATGGGGGCCACAATACAAAATTGTGGCCCCCATACACAAACATCCATACATAAAGAAAAAAAAACCCCAAATTTTTTTGCATTCCTCAACATTTCAATGTCTCAACTCCAAAAAATCTAAAAATCATGGGTGGTCATTTTTTTGACCAATTGCAATACTTTCCCTCTGTTATACATAACAGCCAGGAGAGTAACATATTGACAAAAGCAAAGAAGTAATAGAATTAATAGATGACAGATATTAGAATATATCTCATCTAGCAGATAAAAATAACAATATTAATATTACAGATTGCTTATTTTTAACAGTCTACACCAATTTTTTCTTTTTTTTGCAGTTTTTGATTTATATATTATCAAGTAAAACTGATATTTTATTAAATTGAGCTTAACAAAATAGTAAAAAGATTAATATATATGTGTCAATGTAAGAAAACTGAATGTAATTTCAACAACAAATAAATTCAATGGTTTTCATTAAAATAATTCTGCAAAATAAAAACAATGCAAAATTAGTATAGTTTTCAATTCAAATATTATCACAGGTAAAACAGGATACAGTAAATAAATATTACAAGATATCAAAGATTTTTAAGACTAAAAGATAACAGAAATATTTGTTAACAAAGAATGCTAACTACAATATACAAAAATTATTATTTTTTTATTTTGTAAACTATTTTCATAAAGATAACATAATTCAATAACTAGTATATTCATATTAAAATAAAAGCTGAAAATATTGTACAGGTGTTTAAAATTATATTATTTTTCATTTAAATATTATGATATGACTCTTATCAAACATAGTTTGTAAATAGTAAAATTTTTGTGATGTTTATGCATATTTTTCAGAAAAAATATTAGAAAAATTCTTTTAATTTATCTATTTTTTAATTAGTGATGCAACAATCATAGTTTTTAAATTAATCAATTCTAATAACTATTCACTACTGATTATTTCTTTTTCTTCTTTTTATGATTTGACTTCAAACGTTTTGATTTAGTGAATTTTTAATACAGAATGATTCAGATAATTTCTCTGGATCATATTTTCAAAAAGTATTGAAAATAAAATTAAACAGTGAATGTAAGAAATCAGGAAGAATTTTTTTGGCTTTTTTTTTGGACTTATATATCCAAAAACTTTGATGTTTTTGGATGTAAGTTCAAAAATTTCAAACAGAAATATATTTATATATTCATTTAAAACTACATTTTAAATAACAATTATTTTAAGTGAAAACTTTTAATAATAAAATTAAAGCAGAAAATAAATGAGAGTTGATTGAATTTTTCTTTAGTAACTAAATTATTCCTCAAAACTGTATTGTTATATGATTTTTTTTTTAGCCATGAAAATTTTTTAAATATTTTTTTACTATATATTATTAGTAAAAGAATATAACACTAATGAATAAAATATTAACATATTAAAATTTATCAAAATATGACAAAAAAGATAATTGTTCAGAATGTGAATAAAAAACAGGGAATACACTTCCTTCTTAATGAATTTTAATTTATATTTTAAATATCTTTTTATAAAATATAACTTTAAAATTTTCTTTTTTCTATTTCATTACTCATATATTAATAATATAATAAAAATAAGTATCAAATAAGATTCTTTGATTGGTTTGTTACAATTTAACTACCATCTCAAATTTGTCAAAATCTCCCCAAAGCTGTTATTTATATAATTAAAAAGTTAAATGGAAACTGTATGTGTCATGTTACAGAAAAAATAAATAAAGCAAACATTACCATTGTCACAATGTTAATTTTCACATGATAAAATGAACAAAAATTTTACCAGAATTCATTAAACCTAACTGTAAATTTTCTTCACAATCCCCAAGAAATAACCCTATTTCCAATAACAATTTTATTATTTATGTCAAAAAGTGTAAATAGCAAAGTGGTACTGTAATAAATGTTCTATTTTGAGTATAATAGATTTTCTTCTCCTAGTAAGCAAGGATGGGATTCCAATTGTAGAGTAATTCAAACATTTTGTTTTAGCAGACCATTCTACTTTACTCAGAAAACAGGGATTACAGTAGGATGTCCACCACTTTAAATGGATGCAATTCCACGCAAACATGTACTAGTTTGCATATCAGGGGATGCATACAGTGATACCAGGTTTGGTTACTTTGCACCAAATTTGGCTCTATTTTTTTACTCTTTTGGTGCCAAAAAATATTTCAAACAATTTTCAACAGGAATAAAATTATGGATTTCTTTTAGCTTCGTTTTAACTACTCCAATATACTGCTCCACACTTAAATGACAATACTGTATTCTTCTCATTTTGTTAGATTTGAAAATCATTTAGAATATTAATTTGTTTTTTAAAATTAATTTAACTGCATTTAGTAAATTAGTTCAAAATATTATAATTCAGAAATTTCAATTGCCTATTAATCCTTAACTTTGAAATTATATAAAGTTAACTTTGACCCTGAAAATCATTAATATGGATTTGTGTTCCCTTAGTGATTTGTATTAATGCAAATTGACTGTATTTCTGCTAAGATTCAAATGGAACACAAATAATATATTCTCTTATTTGTGTTCCACTTAAATTTTAGCAGAAAACAGAATATTTATGATTTTGTATTAAAATAGTTACAGAGAACAATAAATTTGATGGAGGGTTGGTATTCTAAGTTAAAAAAAATTTATTATGCATTATATAAATACAGTAGAGCGTTGATTATCCAAATCAATTGGGGACTGGGGTTGTTTAGAAAATTGATTTTTCGGATAACTGATTATGTACTAAAAAATACATTATTAATATAGTATATTAGTATATCCCAATAATAGTATATTAATATATCCCATGTTTAAATTTTTCTCTGTTGCGTGTCACTTCGTGTTGAATTTTCATTGATGTTAAGCCTAATGAAAATTTTTATAATAATAATTGTGGCTATTGTATCGTTAAAAATTATTTCTTTATTTTGTACAAACAAAATAAATATATTGAAAAATATAAGAACAAAAAAATTATACTTTAGAAGTTAATCTAGTATCAAAAACATTCGATTCAGCACGACACAGTCTGACTGGAATGGTTTCAGTTAACCAATGTTTCAGTTGATCAGCATAATCAACTGATAATCAATGCTCTATTATATTTAGAAAATTCTGGATCATCTCAAAAAGGATCAACATCAAAATTAAATCCTGATAATCTGGAGAATGAAGGACAAAATTAAGTAGCCAACAAATACATAGTATTATATATATTAGAGTAGACACAAGTCAAAAGACTAGTGGAAAATTGAAATATTACAAAGTAATAATAATAATCAGGAATATCTTCTAATCATTAGCTACAAAATTAAACTGTACAACAAAGATGAAGGAAAAAATTGAAGATTATTATTATTATTAATGAATGTTATAATAAAAGCATCACAAATATTCTTTAAATTTTAATTTATACATGAAATACTTTTGGCAATGAACATACAATGTGTCCATCTTTTATTGTCTTGTTGTAAATAACCTTCATATAAAATTTCATTTAATTCATACATACAATTTTTGAAATATTTCAGAATTTAAATTTGTTCCACAACTTTTGATGAATTTTTGGATTCCTTATCACAATAAATGGAAAATAGCAAAATTTTATCAAAATCAATCAATCAAATTTTGAAACTGAATGAAATATTGTAAGCCACGTGGAAAAGGCTTCATTAACACTCCACCTCAAAAATCTTGTAAAACAAAATTTCATACAATTCTAGTATAAATCTTCCATTCTTATTTGTCACCTTTCTTTCAAAAGTTGATTATTATATGTTTATTCAATATAATATTATAAAATAAGAATTTATTATTTTTATTGAGAAACATATTTTTTTATCTTCTACAAAGAAATAATCTCTTTCAGATAAAATGTTAGTTTTACTCATTCAGTGAATGTTACAAATCTTCCAAAACATTTTTTATTTGAAAAAAAAATAAGATAAATTTTATACCAAGTAATTATTTCTTAGTAATTAATAAAACTTTTTACCAAATATCATTGAAGATCATTAAAGATCATAAGTGAGTTAATTAAACAAATGATTATAGATTTTGAACTAAATTTATATGTAGGCATGACCCTATCTGTTAGGAGTTTCAAGAATTAAATGAATTTAAATATATTAAATTAACATATCTGAAAAAATATCTGTTCAGTATGAGATTCAAAGTTGTAACTCTTTCCTCCCTCATGTGCAAATGCATTCTGTTATGTCATCTGAATTCTAGATAATATCAGATATGTCAAGATTTTATAATAATTAAGCTATTTTAAATTTATCAATTAGTAAAAATTGAAAAAATTCAGTCATTAAAATTCTGACATAGCAAACTTTTCAACATTTAACATCCTCTTTTATTTTTATCTGAAATTAATAATTTCAAATAAAAAAAATTTGAATTGTAGACAGATATATTGCCATGTGTTATTGAGTTTCTAACACATGGCAATATATCTGTCTACAATTCAAATTTTTTAATCATTTAATAGAACTCAGAATATGACTGTCAGTTTACTTAATGTTATGAAAAATTAATTGTCTAGGTTAAATATTCTTTAAGCTTGAAATTAATTATTATTATTATTTTTTTTGCATTCATCTTAGCAAATGAATTCTATTAATTTTTTAAAAGGAAAAGTTATTATCAAAATTGAATCAAGATTAGTAATATCAAAAATATTTTTAATACGGTACAAAATATTTTATATCTAAAGATATTAATTTACCCAAATATATCTGATAAATACATAGTTACACTTTATTAAAAAAAAAGCATATATAGTAATATCAAATTTCAATTCCTGGTAAATGCAAATTCAATAAATATATGAAAGTTTATATTAATAATCAAATCTTTTATAATACACTCACCTACAACTAGCACAAGAAAAACATTTCTGGTGGTAAGTATTTCCTAAAGCTGTAACAACATCTCCTTCAACGTAATCATTACAACCAGCACATCTTATGCCAAATAATTTTTGATAATCTGCCGTACAAAAATATTTACTCTCTCTCATAAAAAATCCACCTTCTGCTAGAGATGATGTACATTCTAAATAGGAATAAAATACATATCAAGAATTAATATTAAATTTAGTAATTAGTAAAAGAAATCTTGGTATTAATTTACAATGTATTAACATTAATATTATGAACTCTTAATTCTTTTTTGAAGTTTTGTGTGTAATTTTATTGACAATATCTTAATCAATACTTAATATAATCAAGACTATTAGGATTCAGCAGAATCCATGATTTGAATTTGTAAAACATAATATTTTGTTTTGGAACATACTAAACAAAAAAAGTTGTTTTTTTCTTAGACCATAGTTCTATGACAGTATTTGAATGCAAAGGTTTAAAGAAAATTTTCGTAAAATGGAATTTGGAGCATTCCATTTCAGAACTATGTTATGTTTATTTAACACATGTTATATCAAAAGTGATATAGCATAATATAATTTCATTGTCCAACAAAGGCAAACACCCAGAAAAAATAACACATGCAAAGATAAAAAAAAAAAAAATTTACCGTATTAGCCCGAATATAACGCGATATTTTTCGACCATTTATTTTCCATTAAAAAATCGACTTGCGCTAAATTCGGGGTTTAAGTAATGGAATGTAATATAAACAAGGACATTTTCCTACAGAGGTTGAAACGCAACTGAACGTCCGACCAATTCCTAGCTCGACCGACCACTTCAAAACAACCATGTGATCTAGTTAGTCGGCCTGTGCTTTTGTTTGCATAGCGCTACTATAGTAAGGCTATGTCTCCGCTTGTTAACATCTCACGCAACTGTTTTCTTTCATTTGTTTTTTTTGCTGTTGTGACTAGCGACAGTTACTTTACTGTTTTCTTTATTGCCCATAAAAAATAAGTGCGAGTAATAAAGGTAGTGTTGAAAAAAAAATGGCTCATCAAAGAGTCAAATAAATAAAGGTACCAGGAGAACCTACGATATGAATTTTAAAATTAAGGTTGCAAACGAGGCAGAAAGAACGAACAAATTGAGAGCTTCGAGGAAATATGAGTTCCAGAAGTAAACATCGGCCTATGGAGAAAAGATTTAAGGAAATATAAGAATGCAAATTCTTCAAGAAAATCTTTTAGTGCACCTAAAAAAGGAAGGTTTAATGAAGTTGAGCAGCGAGTGTTAAAATTCGTAATAGAAAAGCGAAATGAAGGGTGCCCAATATCCCGTAAAGACATAAGATTTAAAGCGTTAGAAGAGGCTGTTAATTTAAACATTCCTAGAAAGGACTTTATGGCAAGTATGGGTTGGTGTAGAAGAATCATGAAAAGGAACGGTTTATCGACGGCGGACAACTCTCACGTAAAAACTTCCTGACAACTTTAATGAAAAATTGTTGGCTTATCAGCACCATGTTATATCATTACGCAAAAAGCACAACTACAGTCTTGGAAATATGGGAAATGCAGACCAAACACCAGTCTATTTTGACATGCCTTCTGACCTTACGGTAAATAAGAAAGGTGAAAAAACGGTCTTATTGAAGTCAGCTGGTTATGAAAAGTCCAGAATTACTGTTATGCTTGCTGTTACCGCTGACAGACAAAAGCTTCGACCTTACGTTATATTGAAACGTAAAACAATGCCCAAAGAAAAGCTGTGTCCTGGAATTGTTTTTCAGGTCCAAGAAAAAGGTTGGATGACGGAGGAGTTGATATTAGACTGGTTGAATGTGATATGGAGGAAACGGCCAGGTTCTCTGAGAAACTCCCGCTCATGCTAGTCCTTGATGCATTTCGAGGCCACCTTACGACAAGTGTTAAGGTAAAGGCATTGAGGCATTGAATTCCGATCTTGTAATAATATACCGGGTGGTATGACTTCTCAGTTGCAAGTCTTGGATGTGGTGGTTAATAAACCATTTAAAGAGAATTTTTGAAAAGAATACAACAATTGGCTATTATTGGACAATCATCCATTGACACTTTCAAGAAAAACAAAAAACCTTCAGTCTCTCTTTTAGGAGAATGGCCTGGCAGAAGATCGAACCTGAATCGATAGTTAAGGGTTTCAACAAATGCTGCATTTCCAATGATTTAAAGGAGACGGAAGATAACATTTTGTGGGAGACTGAAAGCGTGAATGAAAATACTGATGATACCAATGTGATTCAATGAGTTCTCATTCTGAAAACAGTTCAGATTCTGAATAAACAGTTCCATTTTTTGTTGTTACTTACGCAATATTAATTTTGTTTTACATTACTTAATTTTATTGACATGAATGTAACCTGTGTTATTAGCTATAATTACCTAAATAAATGCTTATCTGATTGAATTTTACTTTCTTTGAATTCTTTTATCAGTATTATTTTTTTTTCTAAATATCTTTATGAAAATTTTGGAGTTGCGTTAAATTCGGGGTCGCGTTATATTCGGGCTAATACGGTAATTCATGTGATAATAAAGTACAGAAACAAAAGAATTCCAGCTCAATGGGTTTTGATTTACAATCACCTATAATCCAGTGATTAGTAGAACAATTAAAAATTATCATAACTAGAACAAAAAGAACCTGACAATAATAATTACACAAATTTTCCTTAACATTAAATCTTAATACTAATTTATAACTAAAAGGAAATAGAAAGTAGGGTATGAAGTAACAAAAATGGTGGCTAGGATAGGAAAGAAACATGACTAGTGAAGATGTTGTTTGGTTACCATGTGGGCCACATGGAAGCTTGTTAATGAGGAAAAAGAACACAGAATTCTCACTTCTGTTTTCTTTTTCTTCAATTCTTGAGGGTTTTTGTATATATGATCCTTGTAGTCAGCTGCTCATTTGGACTAGCCAAGTGAAATGCCAACTTCAATGCTTTATCTTCAGCCAAGGAAGTTCAAAGTTTCCTCTTTTAAGTTTTGTTCTTCTCCTGTCTCATGGGCACTGGACACTGTCGCCTATCTCCTTTCGTCATATTCCCTTGTCAAGAACGTAGCCAAAAACTGCTCTTCTTTGCTTTGTGTGCCCTCATAACCTCGTATATGTTATGTTGGTAAATTCTAGAAAGTGGTCCTCACCTCCAAGAACGAAGGATTAAGAAGATTGTTCTTTCCACCTTTGAGAACTTTCTAAAGTACAGGGAAAAATGTCAGAAGGACAAAAGAAGATTATATGGCATATAGCCACAACACCAAAAGATCTGTACTATTCACCACCTGGTGGACTCACTGATATAGAACAAATTATTATTATAACATTTCTCTTATTTTGAATAGGATTTATAACAAATCAGTTCTACATATTACCTTTGAAACATGATTATATATGATTTTTGAACACAGTTTACAATATGAGAATCTTTGAAATGTGATGGTTTTCATACTATTAGACCTGATCAGGTTGTTAAGTTCAAAGCTACACTGTTGTCTATCTGATGATTTTCGAAGTGGCTATTTTCTGTGTCTCTTCATTCTTTCTTCACTAGTACTAAACTTATTTATGTTTTCTTTTGGTTCACTGGCTTTTTTGTCTTTTTTTAGCTGATCTGGAAACTCATTTGAATTCTGTATGTTTTTAAATCTATCATTATCAAACTTTCTTAGAAATCTTCAATTACAAACAAAATATTTATTATCTTTGTCTACATGCACAATATATGGTCTTGGATGATTTCTAACTATTGTTATAACTACACCAGGCTTTCAGATCCTTCCATCAATTTGAATCATCACTAAGTTGTTTGGATTTAGTGTTGATAAGTCTAGCATTCCTATTAAAATAGCATTTCTGTATTTGCTATCTATCAGTATTGATTTTGCATAAACTTATCTAAGACTATTCTAAGTTTTAAGAGATTGTTCCTCATTGGGCCTTGCAATCTGCAACATTAAAAAAGTTGAGTTGGAGAAGGGATACTTCAACCTAAGAGTATATTTCTATATTCCAGCAAGGTTAGATAAATATCTTTAGAATCATAGACTGCTTTCTTTAGTAATTTCTTGATAGTTTTCACACATCTTTCAATAAATCCATTGAACTGAAGGTTTCATTGAGAGATTATTTTATGTGTTATTTCCCAGTCTTCTAGAAACTGTTGGAAGTGTGTTTGTTTACAAACTATGTATCATTTCCTGAGTATAGAATTTCTGGCTTACAATGTTGGCAAATATCAATTTCATAGCTTCAATTATTCTAGAATGTCTGGTATTCTGACTCATATAGTAAACTTCTGAAAATCTTTAAAATGTGTCCACCACTAGTAGAAAGTTTTTACCAAACATATGGCAGATATCAGTAGTGACAATTTCCCATGGTCCCACAGAAAGTTCTCTGTTAATCAGTGCTTCTTTCTGATTTGCATTTTGATTCTTTAGGCATGCTGTGAAATTCTTTACATCTATTATTCTTTTTCATTAAAAAAAATAATAATTATTTAATGTAAGATATAATTTATTTAAAAAAAAAATAATTATGTTTACTGATTCCCATGTGATTATAATGTAATCTATCAATTGTCTCTGTTCTCATACTCTTAGGAATGTCTCAATTCAGTCAGTTCTTCATAAAACTTCCAATATGGTTCAACTAGTAGATCTATCATGAGTTTTTGTTCAGGCCAATCTTTTATTATGTCAATCAGTAACTGTAACTCTATCTCTTCCAGTTTCATGACAAAGCTTTTGAAATTTCTTTGGAGTAATACTATAGTAATTATTTAAATTAACTTGAACTTCAACATCAGATTCTATTACATCAAAATTCTTGTCCACATAGCTGGCTCAAGAAATGGCATTAGCCAATACAAGTTGTGATCCAGTTTATATTTTGCTCTAAAGTTATAACTTTGTAACGTAATCCTTAATCTCTGAAGATGTAGTATGCATTTGTTTAGTGGTTTTTGAAAAATTGTCTCTAATGGCTTAAAGTCACTTTCAACTGTAAATTCATGACCATATATATATTGATGGAAAGCAAAATGCTATTAACTGTGCTTCTGTTTTCCTTGTGCAGAATTCTTCTGGATCTCTGTAAGAGTCTTTGATGCATACACCACTGGAGCATCTTGAAGGAGTACATTTCCCATACCATCTTTTGAACTATCTATTGACAGCATTAGTGGTCTATCTTTATCATAAAATTGTAAAAATGGAGTATTACTCAAGAGGTTCTTTAGTTCCAGAAATTCCTTTACATATTGATCTGTCCACTGCCATAAACAATCCTGTTTCAGTACAGTCCTTAATTTTGAAGAATGAGTGGCTAAATTTAGTATAAATTTTACCATACAAACTATCACTCCCATGAATTGACCAAGTTTTTTTTTTAAACTAGTTGGTTTTGGAATGAGCTTGATTGCTTCCACCTTATCCAGATCAATTTTAATACCTTCTTCTGACAAAAATATGTCCAATATTTTTGTCAAATGACTTCCTTTAATTTAAATTTGCACTTATCCTTATTGAACCTAACTCCTTTTTCTTCAGCTGTCTTCTAATTCTGTCATGTTCTTCCATGTCCTTTGCACAAATGATAAGATCATTAACATAAATCTTGACTCTGATAGGTATACTAAATACTTACATTGGATGTCACACCAACAGTTGTATTAACTCAATTAAAGACTTCAGATAAGGAGACTTTCAATTAGGCTTTCTGCTCAGGTGTAGAGTGCACAATATAGTACCTAAGTGCATCACCATCAACTACAAGGCTTTTCAAGTTAAGTTCCAAAACAGCTAATGTCGTTACTGTTTAAATTTAAATATTCCGTTTGAAATCTTTTTGTTATTCAAACTGCCTGAGGATGATGTGCATAATTACATTGAAAGTGCTTGCAGAAATAAAGTGTTTATTTTAATTTCTTTAATGCCTCCTTATCTGAAGTCTTTACTTGAGTTAAATCTTGACTCCTTCAATATGAGTAAAACTTCTGTGAATGTTTTATGAAATATCTCATAAGCATTAGATAATCCAAAGGGGAGTCACAGAAACCTATACTCCGTAAAGGCATGCTAAAAGTTGTTAATTTTGATGAACTTTCTGTCAGCTCAATTTACCAAAATCTCTTGTTTGCATCTAGACTTAAAAAGTATTTGGAGACTGCCATATCTCTTGTGATTTCCTCAAAGTAGGTATTTCAAAATGTTCTCTCATTATTGACTGATCAAATTTTATAGATCTAAACTAGTGTTGCAACAAATAGTATATTTGTCCTCAGGCCGAATAGCTGAATATTCGGCCAAACTATTCGGCTTAATTAACGCACGTACGAAAATTGGCGCGCAAACCGCATTATGGCAAGGACCCTGCTCTCCATTGGCCCGCTGTCACTACGCTTCACCAATTGCATTAATTCTTGGCAGTTGTAGTGGACAGACAAGAGCGTCATGGCAGTATGTGATAAATGATATCAAGTGTGAATAACAATGAAATGACCTACACGTGTAAATAACAAACAGAGAAAGACGTGAAGTGAAAATGTGAAAATAAATATGAAATTGAGTTGATAACATAATTGAACAAGTTGAAGCAACTTATTGGCATGAAATTTGCGGCCGTCAATGCCAAACAATTGTTGTCATAGACCTTCGGAAAGCTAAATGCTTGTAATGAAAGTCACTTAGCGTGCACGGGCGAAAGCCTGGGACCGTTCTGGCTATCAAGCTGTCTGGAATCTGTGAAATCATAACTGTGACATATACTGATGTATCTGTCTCTTTTCTCCATTATCACCAGGCTATGAGTCACATAATTATAAAATGGAAAAACTACGACAGAAAGTGAAGAATCGAAAGTATCGTGAACATGTATTATGATGTATGCATAGGCATATGTGGACTAGAGAGATAGAGGAAAGAGAAAGGAAAGAGCAAAGATGAGTGCTTAAAAAGGATAGGCAGGGTCAGACCCTCAGATGTGTGTGATGATTCTCAAACGAATAGGTGTGTACGTGTGCTGATCTTTGTAATTATAAATTGTGAATACGTGCGACTAATATTATGTTCTTTTTTATTTTGTGCATGTTATAAGTTATAAATAAATATAAACAAACAACACTAACCCGATAACATTAAATCTAAATACCAAAATGATTAATTTACTGTGTTTTTGTTATTTCTTACTCCTGTTTTTAGGTATTCGGTATTCGGCCAAATAGTGATTAAATATTCGGTATTCAGCCGAATAGCGAAAAATAGGCCGAATAGGCCGAATATCGAATAGTAACCGAATATTCGTTACATCACTAATCTAAACATATTCTAAGGCTTCTATCGGGTTTTCTAACAAGGACAATTGAATTTACAAAATGTGTAAGTTCATTTATGCTGCACATAATTCTGTCATTTGTACATGAGTATTAAACTTGTGGCTCTTGACATTTTGATTACTCTTTGGTGTAAAATATTGCTCAAGCTTTTCCAGGAACACATTAGGTTGTTTAGCTTCTTAATCATCAAGTTCTGGTGACTCAGAGTCAAATTACCAAAGCTTTTTCCCCAAACAGTGGAGCAAGATTGCAGCTTGAGTTTTGTTACTCTTTGTCATCAGTTTGGTTACCTTTGCATACAGCAGATAACTTTTTTAAACTTCTTCCAATTTATTCACTAATCACCTACCAACATCAGCTTGGGAATACAAAAAAGTCATTCTGCAAAGCTTTAATTCTTTATAGTTCTGATTTTAGATCCATAAATTGTGAGCAATGAGTGTGTGCTTGTTTAATTTGTGTGCACAGAAAGTGATATTTTATAGCAGAATGGATAAAAAGAAGGAGAGAGAGTACAAATGAGAAAGACCAGTTTAATAAAAACTTTAGTGTAGATCTGTCTTTTTGTTAGCAAAGGAAATGCACATTCTGTGTTGGCATTCATCCAGAATAATAACCTTTCTCATATTTGTATTTAAAAAAAAGGGAAATCAATAAACATTCAATTTTGAATATATGCCTCAATAGTAGAGACAAGGACTCTTCCTCTGCTTGCAAATTTCTTATCAAACATTCCAGTTCATCTCTTACATCCTAATTCTCATTGTTATTTAATTTCTGTTTCTTATTTATTTTGTATTATTTTTTATTTCTGATTATAATTATTTGTCTCTTATCTTATATTCTCATTACAACATTATAACACATTGTTTATATATATTTAAATATGTTTTAATAATTTAAATACAGTATGGTCTTGTCTTACACAAGGATTGTATATGAACAGATACCATGTAAAACAAAATTTCAAATAAATCTGTGTTCCACCCAATAGTCCTAAATTACACCCTTAGGCAGCCAGTTACAATTAACAAGATAATTAACAAGATGTTAAAACATTTTATTTATATTTTTACTATATATACTGAATTTCACAATAAAAATAGTCAGTGTGTGCATTAATAATCAAAATTATCTCTGTGCATCCAAAGCTTAACCTCACCATTCACCATCCATAAAAACATTAATCCATGTACAGTTGAACTTGCATATCTCAAATCTTGCAAGAACAAGAAAAAAATTTGAGATAAACATGTTTGAGATATAGAGATTCCTACACAATAAACAGTAATAGAGGTACTATATTTTATTAATACAGTAATAAGTTCAATAATATGTGTATTAGGTATAAATGAAATATTTTTGACATACCTTAACAGAAATAGCTTGTCGATAGTTTCTGATACCTGATTTTCTTCAACCAATAAGACACAAACCAAACTCATAGCCAATAAGAGAAAAGCAGCATTAATTACAACTGTGTACTGTATTGCAAAAGATGTTTTTCAACTGCAATTTATGCTATTAAAATGTAGTTTCTGAGCTTTGAATTTGTAATTGACACTTCAGTCTGTAATTTGAGATATAGAGGTTTTGGTAGAAAATTATTTGAGATAAACATGGAAAATATATTATATTTTATGCTGAAAATGAATGGAAAAAATAAATTTTTAGATAAAGAGGTTTACAAGATAAACATGTTTGAGATAGATAAAATTGATATACAGTTGAACCTATGTAAAATAAGTCCTTACTGTATTCAGTGTTTTGTATTGTTCTGTTTATTGCCATGTTTCCATTATATCCTGTATTTGAAGGGTAATTAATTGGGTTGAAAACATTTACAATTAAAAATATTAGTTCACTGTTAATGGGGTACATTTTTTCCTACATTTATTCTTCAGCAATTTCTATCATATAGGCTATATTTCAATTAATTTGTAACTGCTTCAAAAGTTTCTTTGTAAACCAAACGATCACCATAATTAATTTTCTTTCAGACTATACTAAAATTATTTAATATTAAATTATTATAATTATTAATTTCAATAAGAGATGACACCTAATATCTACCTCTACTACAAAATTACTTAATATATATCTAATTATTAATAGTAGTGAAAAATAGCCCAAATAATTATGGAATCATTTGGTTTATTATTAATATATCAGGCTTAATGATGTTTATATAAAAAGTTACTTTATAAAGAGAAAAAGAAATATTTAAACAACTTATTAAAATTTACCTGTACATTTAAAACATTCAATGTGAAAATATCTGTCTTGAACCCGTAATGCGTTCCCACTGCATTTTTTCTTGCAAACTTCACAAATAACTTTTCCTATAAAATTAATTGAACATTATATTCATTTATTATAGATATAATTCTTAAAAAATAAAAATTTATACATATAATATGTGGATTATTTGAATTTAAAAAAAATTTGAAGGGAATGCAAGTTATATGATGGTGTGGGTTATATATGAAATTTTGAATTTTAATCATAAACTTGTGCCTATGGATCAATGACTTCTACCATAGGCATGGTGCATAATGATGAGTGGGTTATGAAAATATTTTATTTTTATTCTAGCAATTTTCTGCAGAGTATACACCATTGCATGTTATATTCCACTGTGTTATAAGTGCAAAAACACAATAGTTTTCAATATCAAAGTAGAACGTTAAATCTTACAAATTTAATAAAATGAATTGTTTGAAATTATGTTTAAAGATATCTTCTAACTTAATTATCGGTACTAATGACAACCCTAAAGAACCTTTACTTCCAGTAACAAAACGTTTAATAAATTGTCCAATGAATGCTTTCAACCTTACCCAAGATCTGCTTCAGGTTAGAGAACAATCAAATTCCAAAATCGGAATGCTTGGAATAGAACGTTTTTAAACATTAAATTTAAAACATTTGGAACATATAAAACAAACAGAGACTTAACAGTTGCAAATATGCAAATTTACCATATACATATAAGGCAACCCCTGTGAAGCAGACCTTGAGTAAGGTTGAAAGCATTCATTCAACTATTTATTAAATATTTTGTTACCGGAAGTAAATGTTCTTTNTTAAATTTTAAATTGCATTATATTAAATTCTAATTCACAATATATCAATATTTTTTAAGAGAATAATTTTCTCATATTTTAACAATTCATGACTGAGACAATTATTCTAAGTTGCATTCTTTTGACAGAATATTTAAACATTTAATGCAACAAGCTCATAAATCATGATTGTAAAATTAGTTTTTCAGATAGTATTAATCATTTCATGATTTTTCAAATTGATATGACAGATTCTACTGTTAGCTTATAAGTTGTTTGATAATTTAGATTAAAAAAGCAGCAAATCTTGGCAAATGAAAACAAGTTTAACAAGGATTTTACTTTTGAGTAGTTTTAACTCATCTTATATATTGCTATATGATATTAGTATGATAAACATTTTGGCAAGAATTCAACAATAAAAATAATGATGTTAAAAGTAATAATTCTCAAAATGTCCTTCATTTTCATTAAATAAAAAAANAAAATATTTTAATTTAAACAAATTGTTTTTAATTCTTTTATGTTATTTATAAGCCAAAAGGATTTATGTATATTTTTGAAATATATAAATATAAATAAATTAAATGAAACAATTTGTTCAATAGGATATGTGATAAATAAGCAAAAATGCAATCCAACTTAATTAAATACATAAAAAATTAAACTACTTATTAAGCAGTTTATTTTAACTATTTTATATTTTCTTTTATTCTCCTTTTAACTACTCTTTTTTGCATATATCATTAAAAAAATAAATCTTAGTTGACCAATGAAATTTATAAGGAAAAAAATCAGAATTATGTTTATACATTTTCATTATCAGAATTATAAATTTAAATTAAAAAAAAAACTCAAATTCAAGCTACATTATTATTCAGCAAAGCATCAAAAGATAAATTTAAAATTAAATTTCCATAAAATTAGAGTTTGATTGAAATTTTTGAATTGGTTTTTAAAAAAACTTTATAAAATTAAAACATTAATTTACTTTTCATATTTTTAATTTAAAAAAAAATGTATTAAATCGAAAAACAACTTCTTGATAACTTAATACATTTTTTTTAATTGTATTTCTTAATATTAATTTGATAACAAGTTTGAAAATTAAATAGCAGCTTCACCTAATAGCAATAGGTGTGGCATGTTCATACGTTCTTTTACTGAGCTTATCGAAGTTTTATATCGCGATAAAACTGTCATTGTAACTCGTCTGCGTGGATATTCGAAGACGATAATAAAATAATACAAATATTTAATCTCCTATCAATTTCTAAGAAAATCGTACAACCGGCAATTAATGTATAGCGCTTTTGGTATTTAAAACAAGAACGATGTTACACAAGATTATATTTTAACGTGTAATAATTTAAATTTGATCGAATCTTGCATCATTGACACTTTCAAGGAAATGTCCTAAATACCGAATTAATAAGCCGAAATGGAATAACCCTACTTTCATCTTTATTAGGACTACGCCTAGATCGTTATTGATGAAAAACTACTTTCAAAGTATCCGAAATTTATAAATATAATCGGTTTCAACTTTCTTCTATTAAGATGAACGATAACAACAATGAAACGAAAAAGACATATAAAAGAGAGGAAGAAATAATCCATTACAAGGATATAATAGCATATACTGCATATATATATACATTATAGTACGGCATTAATTACGCCGATTTCTACTTAAATATAAAATTCTTACCCATTTCTTCCTCGTCAATGACTGATTTTTATTAATTTTGAAGTATTAGTTGCAGAAGTCCTTGCGATTATATCAAAAGACGGACGTCTATACAACCTGCACTGATGGGTGGGCCTCGTGCATACTACGTTTACAGCAAATGCAACACACGCTGCTAAACCTTACCCGACAGCAATTGACGCAATCGATGTAAGAACGTTCTATAATTTTGAAACTGTTTTAATTATAATTCCGTAAAGATAATCTAATCACACATCTATCAAACGTCAAAATAAATCAATTATCAACTTACTTATTTCTTTTTCTTTTGTGGGAGGTTTAATATGAAATTCCTTATAGTGAAAAATGTCACTTTCAATATTGTTATAAATTTGATAATTCTGGTTAAAATCTTTTAAGATTTTTATCTTAAAAGATAAAAATCTTAAGTCTGTTTTCCATTAATTAGTATCTATAATTAAACTAATAAGACAAAATAATTATAGAAAAAAAAATTTTTCAGTAACTAAACTGTTTTATTTCGTATGAATATTGAAAAACAGGAACTGTTTTTATGAATTTTAAATCGTAAAACAATTGAAATTCAATCTGTTATTTATATATAGTTAATTTATTGTAAAAAGGTGCGGATATGTCACGTCTTTAAATATTACATAAACATCCGAGAGTTCAAATATGATGAGGTACGAGATTCTACAAAGTCATTGTCAAAAACTAAATAATTAATAGTGAGATAGCATTAAATGTCTTTTAATGATACATATATAATATACTTCTTCCTTTTTAAATCCAATAACTATTCAATGTGAAACATATAGCCTACAAACTGATATCCGTGTAGGTGCCAAACTGCTAAATATGATTCTGACGACGGTAGCAGGTGTAGGTTTTAAATGAGACACGCTATTTTTCGGAATTTTTCTCCAATAAAACACTATCACTAAATATAGTCATTTATTTTAGTAGCAAATTGATTGGGCGACATGTTGCACATATTTTGTTTACATTTTCCATCAGTTTGCGCGATCTGACCAGAAAGATAACCGTTATTAGGCCCACTAATTTTCTCTGACCAAATATTATTTTGTTAGAGGTTTTTCTATTTTTGGATGTGTATATTTCTGAAGATAAAGCAATTGTAACACTCACGTTTGTCTAGACTTTAGAGTACAGTTTCTAGAATCTGAAACCTGTTCGGTGGCTGTACTATCCTATTTGCGACAGTAAAACGGTGTTAATTAAGGATGAGTAATTGTGCTTAGATAATTCGGTTTAGAAATTTTAAGATAATCTCAAAAATGTTTTGATATGAAATCAGTTTTCTTATCGAATGTGAATTTGTTGGAATGACTAAATAACGTAAAAACAGATTCTAATCATTCAGTGATACTAATTAAATTTATCTGTTTTATTAGAATAGATTACTTAATATAACAAGGTACTAAGGTTACAACATAATTATCTGATGAGAAAGAGCCACAGATATAATAGCAAGTACCTTACAAATATATTAAAGCAAAACAATCGTGTTTATCTCGAGCGAAGAATTTGCTATCATGTTCACTGCTTAGCAAGACAACATTATAGGCCTATCACCGTTGTCTTGCCGCAGTAGCGTAGCGCCATTGAAAATATAGAAGATACGCTGAAAATATTAGTGTGTAATGCTTATTGATATTCTTCTTATTAATATTACTTGTCCAGAGCTTATTTGTTATTTAAAAAATTCTGGCAAGATATAATTTACTAGCTTTGAGTAATTTGCCACTTGGCTGCGTATTTTAAAAGCACCCAATTATATAAAAATGGGCCAATTAAGTTCATTCATTATGCATGCGTAAGTAAAGCTAGTTACCGATATATCCCAAAAGTTTTCGATGAATGAACAGGTGAGGATAATGTTGTTGATAAAGTTATTTTACATTTAAATTTAAATTTGAACGTAGAAAACCGTAGACCAAATAGGTGAGAGTCTGCATTTCCCGAAAAGATTGATGTCAATCGGGCATGTTTATCTTTCTAATCGGCCAACAAAATTGCTTCCAAATGAATAATTTTAATAAAAATAGAAATTTGGAAAAAGATATGAAAGTGGAACCATGTTTCTGAAGCGGACAGGCCCAACAGCGCTCTTTTACGCTATGAAAACTGCAGTTTCGATCTCTATTCGAATGTAAAATGCCTCCTAAAATCTTTGCTATATTGCCTGTGCCCATCTCATCTACAGAACGCTATGGCTCGGAAGACGTAGGCCTGCTTCTGTAATTCAACTGGCCTCGCTCTTATGAGCACACATCATGACATAGTCTCCGTGATTGCAAACAGAAAAGCGCATCGTTTAATATAGAAATCTTGTAAAGAAAACAAAAATTGTACAATGCTTTCAACTAGTAAAGATTATTCCTTTATATACCGTTGCTAAAAAAAAAAAAAAAAATTAGTTCCTATAGAAATTTGTTTCAGGAGTATCTGTACTGTACAGTACATGTATCCGTTTCTTCCTAATCAAATAAANTTAAACCTTTCTACTTAATTAAAATTTCTGCCAAAAGAGACTAGTTAATTGAACCTGATAATATTTTTTGTTTCTACATAAAAAAATGAATGTAGCAAATATTTTAATAATTGATTTCAACAAAAAAATATCAACTAATGCTATTTTCTTTTAAATGAAATCATTTCCAGATAAGTTAATTATTAACTTTCATTTAATAATTAAACCTAAATCTGAATTTTTCAATGCTGTACTATCAAAGCCTATCAGTTCATGATCAGTGACCAACACTGCTAGCGTAACCAGATGGAATAAGATACTAATAGTTCACAAAAGTTCTACTTCATATACTATGATAAGAAAAAGATAGTTGTAAAATATACATTTTTAAGAGCATATCATTTGAATATAATTTTGTGCCCATTTTTTAAAATTATATTGCATTTATAGAATATATTTTACAAAAGTAGACATTTATTATATAAAAACATACATAACCTGATACATTAGTAATACCAAACTATCTGCAGGATTTTTATTGGGTTATATTAAGGTTAATTAAATTAATTTGTTAAATTTATCATGAGATGATGGCTTAACCACCTACTAGAGGTAGATGGTTAAGCCAAATTGCTTTCTTTTGGATTATTAATTAGCCTTAATATAGCTTCGTAAAAATATTTATTATAACATTTAAAATGCATCTTCGTAACTCCATCATGATCATTAGGAACAAAACCATTTTAAATCAAAACTATTTATTATAACATTAATTGTATTTGCCTAAAAGTTAGTATCAATTATACATATTGAAATAAAACAAATAATTGTTCTAAAATTAACACTGAATATCAGTTATTAAAATATTGTCCTGGATTTTATATGGTTAAATCAAAAATCAATTTAAATTTGTATAAAAATCAGATTTCAATTTATATATTTCAGATATCTTTTATTTTTAAAAGTTTGCTATCCAATTATTATCATCTCAAAGCTATTATTATTTTTTTTACAGTTAGTTAAAAAGATATCAAAAAGTGCTTTTGCCTTATTAGTAAGATTTCATTATTTTATAGTATAATTTAACATTCCAAAACTGTTGGTCAATTTGTCATAGATAAAAAACCGGTTATTGAAAATTAAATTAAAATATTATTATTGTACAAAATAAAGATATTTTTCATTTTTAATTTAAATTTTAAAAGTTCTCTTTTTTTAGTATATTTACTTTTACTCTTTTCACCCTGTAGGCACTAAGAGGGTCTTTTATCAAGCCCATTATGGGTTTAGCCAGACCACACAAAAGGGTAGCCAAATAGTGAGGATGAGATTGAACATATAAGAGATGGACCAAAAAATTCCTGGGATTTTTCAAACCTGTCCTCTTGGAACCCCCAGAGCAGTAGGCTGAGACCTTACTGCTCGGCCATCCAACTGTTTTCTTTATATTAGTGACATTAATTTTGTTTTATTTGACCTTAATTTGCAGACATCTAGGATATATGTCATTTATTATTTTTATATTTATTCTAAAGAAACAATCTAGAATTTGGGTTGGTTATAACAAAATATTAAATATGAGTATATTGACAAAATAATTGTAAAAAACGATGGAGTCAGACTTTTTCTATTCTTCTTAAATGTAAAATACACTTGTAAATTACACTTAAATGTATTTTCTTTCACTTCTGACTTATGGATATTCTATAACTTCAAAAAGTTTTTAAAACATTAAATCAATAATGAATAAAAAATATTAAAGCTAAAAAATGTAAAAAAAGGATCAGTTTGCAGAGAAAAATACTTTTTATTTACATTAATAATAAGCTCCACAAATGCATTTTACTTATGAAAGGCCTCTTCAGTGGGGCTAATCTTGCACAGTACATGCTCCAACTTTTTTTATGTTGGTCGGATGTGATGTTTTGATAGCATCATTCTTTTGTTAATCATTATTAAAACTTGAATTCTATGAATCAACTCAATATTCTAAATCAGTGATGGCTACAATTGGTGGTACCATGGCAAGATCTGATCCACAAGCCATTTTTTAAGGCTCATAGAGTTCTATTGTTTTAAGCTGACCCTTAAAACAGTAGAAGTTTTGGCACGTGTTTTCAAAAGGGAGACCTATAAGGATGGAACCTTCACTTCTACTTTTGGTAAATGCTAATTTTTTAAAAATTTCATATACCTTCAATTGTATATGCCCACCAGTGACCAAATAAATAAAACCATTGAACACTAGTGGGTTCATACATGGCTAACAGACTTGCACATGGAGTTTTCTGGGTTTTCTTCATGTTAGTAACACCTAAACAAGGGCCAGTTTCCCATAAGACCTGCTAGGAGGTAGGTATTCCCTTCAGCAGACTGCCCGTATGTCATGTTGCCATAGTCGAATAAAACAATCAATCAGTTGTATACTTTAAGACAGATAACCCAGCTTTGTGAGAAATATAACTATACAACTTTTTACAAAAGCAAAATCTTAAATCTCAGTTTGAAAGACTGTTGGATGCAATTACACAGTTGAAAACTGCAGGGATTCAACACAGGCAGAGCTACCTTAAGCCAATGGTCCAGTAGCACAGATCATTTCTAGAAAGCTTGAAAGAAACCATTCAACAAACAAGGGGTTTAAAACAATAAAGAAAATTGAACCCATTTTTAATGGACAAATAGCTATATTTGAAGAGGACAAACCAAAGCTCTCAAGCAGTGACATCAACCCTTCAAGTGTGCACCCATGATGACGTGATGTGGAAAATCAGATTTTCCACATCATGTCATCATGGCAGATACAGAGTTCTACTGGTAATCAACTGTTGATCTTTCAAGTTTGAAAATTTACATAGTCACATGGTAATACAGTGCAATC